GGGCTGTCCCGGGGGTCCCTGAGCCGCCCCTCCCCCAGGTGCTGCTGTTCCTGTTCCTGGCCTGCTCCGGGCTCTTCCTGATGTTCCACGTGTCTGTGGGGCTGGACCAGGAGCTGGCCCTGCCCGAGGTGGGGACGCGGGGACACCGGGGACAGCGGGGGACAGCGGGGGGACATGCTGGGGGTGGTCCCCAATGGGGAGGCTCAGGGACATGTGTGGGTGACACGGCCCTATTTGGGGACACATGGCAGGGTTGACACGGCCCTTTTTGGGGACATGTGGAGGTGACCCCTCTGTGATCCCGTTGGGGCGCTGGGGGGTGACATGGCTTTATTTGGTGTCACATGGCAGTGGTGACACGGCCCTGTTTGGGGACACAGGGGACTCCTTTGGGACCAATTTGGCCCCTCCTGTAGGTGCCATGGCTGGGTGACACAGGGCATGGGTGACACATGGGGCAGGTGACACAGTCCCCTACAGTGACACCCATGGTGACCGGGTGCCCCTGGGTGTCCCCTGTGTGCCCCGTGGCTGTCCCCCGTGTCCCCTGTGTCACACGTGGCTGTCCCCAGGACTCGTACCTGCTGCAGTATTTCTCGGACCTGAACCAGTACCTGGCCGTGGGTGTCCCCACCTACTTTGTCACCACGGGCGGGTACAACTTCTCCTCTGCCAATGGCACCAATGCCATCTGCTCCAGCGCGGGCTGTGACACCAACTCGCTGACCCAGACCGTGCAGCTGGCCACACGCTTCCCCAACGTGTGAGTGACCCTGACCGGCCACCCCGGACACGGCCTGACAGTGCCCAGAGGGTGCCAGCCCCGTGTCCCTGCTGGTGCCAGCCCTGTGTCCCCACCGGTGCCACCCCGGCCACACCAGTGCCAGCCCTGTGTCCCCTCTGGTGCCAGCCCCATGTCCCCACCAGTGCCAGCCCCGTGTCCCTGCCAGTGCCATCCTTGGCCCTTCCAGTTCCAGCCCCGAGTCACCTCCAGTGTCACCCCCTGTCCCCTCCAATGCCAGCCCTGAGTTCCCTCCAGTGCCACCCCTGTATCCCTGTCAGTGCCAGCCCTGTGTCCCCTCTGGTATCACCCCGTGTCACCTCCAGTGCCCCCTATGTCCCTTCCAGTGCTACTCTGTGTCCCTTCCAGTGCCATCCTTGTCCCCTCCAATGCCAGCCCTGCATCCTCTCCAGTGCCACCCCATATCCCCACCAGTTCCAGCCCCGTATCCCCTCCGGTGCCATCCTTGTCCCTTCCAGTGCCACCCCATGACCCCTCTGGTGCCATCCCTGTCCCCTCCGGTGTCCCCCGTGTCCCCTCAGGTCGTACCTGGCCATCCCAGCCAACTCGTGGGTGGACGATTTCCTGGACTGGCTGAGCCCCATGACGCGCTGCTGCCGCATCCACCAGGAGGGYGACAACAAGGGCCAGTTCTGCCCGGCCACCAGCGGTCAGTGCGGGC